AACAGAAGTTGCATCTTATAAATGGGAAATGAATGCAAGTGGAAATGCGCTTTATGTAAATCGTTTACGATTACTTTTTAACTTGTTTAATCTGCACAGTTGCTTACTAACACAGAAAATCGGACATTCTTTTGTTCTTGGTAACAAGAATTATAAAAGAAACCCTTTTTTTGGAAGTTTGGACAGTTTTTGGGCTGTAACTTTTAGGCCCATTAGTCTACGTAGCCCAAAAACAATAGCGATCTTTTTTATGTTTTATATGGTGTATCGTGCACACGAACAAGTGGACAGATATACGGACAGACAGAGAGACAGACAGCAATACAAAATTATAAACGATCTCGAGGATCGTTAATAACTATCATATTTGAGGTTACATATATTAAAAATGCAAGGACTCATGGATAACTTTGGGTCACAAAGTAACTCCAGATCCTGGGGTGAAATTGTGATACATTCAGTTTTTGAAATTTTTCAGTATGTTTTCTAAAATAAAAGTCACTGTATGATTCAGTCAATTAAGGACGGTTGACATGTCATAAAGTAACCTCATTTTACCGGTACGATTTTTTTGACAAAAATGTCCGGCAATTTGATCATTATGCAAAAAAACTGTGTTGTATGGTGATTGTCAAAATGCCAAATGAAATGAGTATTTTTTAAAGAATTAGTTACTAAAACAACATCAGTAGGTATTATTAAGTAATGTATCTGTTTTTAGGATAAGTACAGACAAGAAGAATAGCTGCTGTCGTTAACTTACGAAATACGCAATGGACACGATGATCGTAGTTTTTTTTTTAATTTTCACCGCCACCGGAATCGTATGTGAAAAAGCGTTTCATTTTCCAAACGACTTTACCTTTGGAGTGGCAACCGCAGCTTATCAAATCGAAGGTGGTTGGAACGACGATGGTGACTATATTATTTTTTGTGTTGGGTAGGTAAATCTGTTTTAAATTTTAATTATAGGCAAGGGTGAAAACATTTGGGATAGAATTACCCATGAACGGCCGGAGTGGGTCAAAGATAAGCAAAACGGTAATATAGCTTGTGACTCATAT